TCCAGCCCTGCCCCCCAGCCAAGGCAGCATCCACCTTCCTTTGTTCCTCTCCATGGGGGGTGTCTGGCCACTGGTTTGCATAGTGACTCATCCTGTTTTGCTGGGTCGTGGTACCCACGGCAGCCAGTGGGGGGTACCCCAGAGCCAGCAGCATAGAAACCAGCCAGGTACCCCCACTACGTCACAAATACTACGCTGCTTCTGTTCAGGCAAAAGTCCCTTTTGCACAAAACTTTTGCGCAAAAGGGCCAGTGTAGACAGCTCAGATTTGTTTTCCGCCAAAAAGCCCCAATTGCGCAAATGGCGATCGGGGCTTTTTTGCGGAAAAGCGCGTCTAGATTGGCCACGGACGCTTTTCCACAAAAAGTGCTTTTGCGGAAAAGCATCCGTGCCAATCTAAACGCTCTTTTCCGAAAATGCTTTTAACGGAAAAACTTTTCTGTTAAAAGCATTTCCGGAAAATCATGCCAGTCTAGATGTAGCTGGAGAGGTTTAGGTTGGACATTAGGAAAAAAACTAATGGCAATTAGGAAGTTTTTTCCTAATGTCCAATACTCCAACTCAGGCCAAATCAGCACAGAGCAGAGCGGAAGAATGACTTCTCATGTCTTGCTCACACACTCCTGGGAATGGAGTGTGGTGAGGAAGACCACATGGAGAAGCGTCAGTGACCCTCCTCTGTGTTACATCCCTGACGTATCTGAAGACTCTCATTAGGTGTCCCCTGAAGACTAAACATGCCCAATTCGGTCAATCTTTCTTCATAGGTTTGTTCTTCTAAACCAAGGATCGGTTTTGCCGCTGACCTCTGGCCTGGCTCCAGTTTGGTCCTGCCGTGAGGGCAGGGGACTGGACTCTGACCTCTCGAGGTTCCTTCCAGCTCTAGTGTTCTAGGGTTCTGTGTCCCGACAGCAGGACGAGAAGCAATGGGCTTATCTGCAGCCAGGGTGAGTTCGGTGAGAGGTCAGGAGAAGCCCTACGGTGGCGAAGCACTGAACAGGGGACCTCGGGACATGACTCCCCAGCATGGAGGTTTGAAAGACCAGCCTGGACTCTCATCGGGGATGGTCGAGGAATGCTTGGCCCTGCCTCACTGCAGGGGTGGAGTAGGCGACCTCCTGAGACCCCTCCCAACCCGGCACTTCTGTCATTCCCTCTTCCCAGGCTCTGGGGTCGAGAAGACAGGACCTCTGCCATGGACACGTCTCTCTTCTTGGGCCACAGATCACCCACAGACTCTACCGCCTGTGGCCCAGAACTAGGCTCTGGCCAGATTGGGGGGCCCACGGGTGGTGCTCAGGGCCTGCAGCCCAGGGGTCCCAGTGTGATTGCTGGGTGGGGCCTTAGGGCCCAGGAAGGGCCGTGAGAACTTTGCCCCCCACCCAGCCCCAGGCTCTGCACACAGCGGCGTGGGACAGGGGCTCAGTGGAGAACGTGGCAGATCCCAGGTGGCTCCACCCCTGCCCCGTGCAGAATCTCTGAGATCCAGCAGGACACGTGGCCTCCCGGCTGAGCGCCTTGGCCCAGAAGGTACTGGGAGGAGCGGGCCCCGTGCTTGGGATTAAACGGAGCCCTGGGCCCTGAGCCCCACCCCAGCTACAAGACTCGTCCCCTCCCCACCCCCACAGCTGCCTCCGGACCTCCAAGATGTTCTGCAGCTCCACAAGGTCGGGCTTCTCATCCTTACACATCAAGGCCTTCAGCATCCCGTCCATGGCTTCCAGGGTCTGCACGCAGAGCAGAGAGGGTGCCAGAGCAGGGACATTACCCAGCCAGGTGCTGAACCAGAGCCTGGCGAGACACCCCCCGGCCATGGCAGCCCCAGGGATCCCAGCTCACCCACTCCCTGTACCCGCAGGGGGCCCGGGGCAGGCCTCTCCCGGCCCCCCCCCCCCGCGGCAGACTCCTCCGGCCCCACCTGCCTTTGCTGTCCCCAGGGAGAAGCTGTGGAAGTGTGGAGGGGAGATTTCCAGCCAAGCTTCGGTTCCCCCTGGCCCAGGCGCATCTGATGCTGCCCATCCCAGGCCAGTGCCCCAGGTACACACGGGGGGATCAATGTGCTTGTGACGGGAGTGTCTGTTCCCACTACTTGCTGGTGCACGTAAAGGATAAATGCCTACTACTGCTGCCCTAGGAGGGAGCTGCTCCTTTCTCTCCGGCGGTGAAGTCCTGCCGACGAGCTGTGATCAGTATTCGCTTGTGCCAGTGCCAGGTAACCCAGCGGGCAGGCACACCAGCAACTGGCAGGATCCCCATGCGGTTTGGGAGGCTCCACACAGCCACTTGGGGCTTACCTGGGTGTACAGATCAGCCTCGGCGCCCTGCATGGTCTCTGCTGGAGGCAGGGAGAACACGCTGGAGAAGCAGACGGCGAGCAGGCTGCCTTGGTCCAGACCCTGCAGCGGAGGCTTCACTTTGCTAAGAGAAGAGACACTGCGGACTAGAGGGCAGAGGAGGGACTGATGCTCCGATGCTGAGGTCTCCGGCTCCCCGGGCGTGGAAACAGATCTACGGGGTCCCAGGGGAGGGGGCGGAGGAGGGAGCTGGTGCTGCCTCCTCTCACACCAGCAGGGATCCAGCCCTACACCCAGCTCAGGGCTCGCAGCCCACTGGACAGGGCACTCAGCTGGGCAGGGCAGGGGGCAGCCCAGCTGGCATTAACCCCTTCATCTCCCTAGCCAGAGCATGGCCCTGCGCTACTCCAGCACCTGCCCTGCCCTCCCCTCCCAGTCCAGGGGCACCTGGCCAGCCACCAGCCCATCTCCAGCCCACACCCTCCGGATGCCTGGCAAAGGCAGGGCAGGGCGCCAGCGGCACCGAAAGCCCCCAGCACATGCAGTGCCACCTCCCAGGGCTCAGCCTGCCCAGCCTCTCAGCCACAGGGCTGCCAGCATGACACAGCTGGCACAGATGGCAGCGACCCCAGTTCTGCTCCAGCTGCCCCTCTGGCCCCAGAGCCATCGCTTAGGGGTCCAAAGGTCCTCCCCCTTCCCCCATCGTCAGGGGCCACTTGACGAGGCCAGGCGCCGAAGGGTCCTCTATCACCAACCCCCTGGTGCCGGCGACAGTCTCCGGTGCCTGAGGGCAGGGAAGCTAGTGGGGAGCAGACAGCTCCAGCAGGACAGAGGGGGGATGCCCTAGAGAACTGGCCGCGGCAAAGAGGCTGGTGCATCTGGCTGCCCTGGGGCCGGGCGGGGCGGGTACCTCAGCTCCATGAGGGTGAGCATTGCTTGCTGGCGCACCCTCCCTGTCAGGGCGTTGACGGGCTCGTGATGAATCAGCATCTGGGGACACAGCGTGGGGAAATGGCAGGGGGGCTCCATGCTCCCACAGGCCCTGCCTGTGACATGTGGGCTCAGCAGCCCGGTCGTCCTCCTGCCGGCTTGATGGCGTGCAGAGCCCCAGCCGGGCAGCGCAAGATAGAGACAGGGCCCCCCGCGTACACGCCAGCGCACTGCATTGGCTCCGTCAGCATCAGCACCCAGAGACTACCCCTAGATCGGGCCCCTTGTGCCAGGTGCTCAGTGAGGGCCAGTCCTGTCCCACAGAGCACACTAGATGAGGCCTAGCAGGGAAACTGAGGCACGGAGGAAGATGGGACGAGCCCAGGGTCTCCCTGCAGAACTGGGAGTCGGGTCCAGGTGAGCCGAGCCCCAGGGAAAGGAGCTAAGCCCCGGGAAGCTCTCTGCAGCGTGGGGGGCAAAGCGTTCCCAGCTCTATGGAGCAGATGGTGCTAGTCCCCGAGCGCAGCGTGGGGCTCTGAGCAGGGGGCCGGTGGCGTGGGAAGCTGGCGCAGGGGGACGCTGTCCATTTCCCTAGAGCCACTGGGCGGTTCTGTGTCTGGGAGCAGAAGGCAGTCCCAGCCGGGGGCTCTAACCGGAAGACACGGCTGCCATGGTAACCGGCTGCATGTGAGCTCCTCGTGCAACACGGGGCCCACAAGGCTAATGCTGCCCTGGGGCGTGTGACCAGGGGGCTGCAGTTGCTCTAGAGAGGTTCGCTCCCCTCTGCATGCGGCCCGGGGGCGGCGGCTGCACCCACCACACCAGGCAATGAGGGTTATCCGCTCCACAAGCAGAGCTTTGCTGATAAACGCATCCAGGTTCCCCTCCGGGCTCTGGGCGCTGACGGCTCTGCTGAGGGTGCTGACACAATTCAGAAACATCAGTTTCTCGGCCTCATCCTGCGTCCCGCAGAGATTAGACACAAGCGGGCAGGTTAGCGAGGCACGGAGCCCCCGGGGCAGAGAGGCCAGGAAGCTTCCTCCCCACGCAGCTCAGGCTTTGACGTGCCGAGTGCGGGGAAAAGCGTTTCCTCTGGCCTCAGGAGCGACTGTCTGGGGAGGGCAGGGCGGCTCCGCGTGGAACCAGACCAGGGCCGGTGGCCAATGGCGAACTTCAGCAGGTGCACAGCCAAACTGGGGGCCCTGGGGAGTGGGAGGAACATCTGGATGTGACACCCCAACACCCCAATATTCACCACTCTCAGGCAATTGCCATCGGTTCAGTAGAGAGTAGGGCTTATAAGGTGTCGTTCTCAAAGCCTGTATCCGCTAGACATCCATGTCTCGTTGGGCTGTGGGTGTTGTCGCTGCATGTGAAGTTATGTACGTTGTGACGTTCAACAGGGCCTCAGGGACAATTAAAGAAGCCAAACAATGGCTTCTCGAGACAACGCACAGGCCCCAGGTTACCCCTGGAATGGCCGGCCATGGAAACCTCGCCAAGGCAGCACTGCACCTTGGCAACTGTTTGACCCAGGCCACAGCAAAAGAGCTTTCAGCCAGCGGGAAGAGGAGACACAAGGGGAACAACGAAATGGAGGCGGCTTACTCTCCCTGCAACAAGATACTGGGAAATACCTGAGGGACAAAGAGTAAACTATAGTCCCAGGCTAGAGAGAGGCCTCACTTGTGTAACCCTAAACCCTAACCCTAAGGAAATCCGAGCTGCAAAGCCAATCTAGCTTGTGCCTTAAGAATCTCTCAACCTGTTTATCACCCAGAGTGCGAATTTGCTAATGCAGGGCTACTCAACTTTGGAAGCTCTGGGGGCCACAATGATACTCAGCATATGCCGAGGGCCACTACTTAAGTGTGGTTGCATGTACATGCAAATATATATGCAAATAGCTTCTTTCACACTGACGGGCATGTATACAAAGATTAAAGGCAAGGCTACACAACACGCAGGCCCCATTTAAGTCAGTTCTGCTGATATTAATAAAATGCAGCATTTACCCAATTTCCACCCATATGACAGCACTTGTAATGAGCAAAGATAGTCCAGGAATTTAATTACTAAACCGCATCTCAACAGAAGACCATTCTATTGACTGCTTTTTTGTTTTGGCTCCCATCCATAGGCTGCGTGTTGTGCCCCATGTAAACCCCAAACCACACTGTGGGCCACAAACAAACAAGCCATGAGCCACATGCGGCCCGTGGGCCCCGTGTTGAGTAGCCCTGTGCTAATGGACTCCCTATCTATCTAATGGGATAGCTTCATTTGTGGGTTTTATTTATTTACTAAGTAACTTGCTTTGTTCTGTTTGCTATCCCTCATACACATGTAAAATTGATCCTGTGTAGGTTAAACTTAATTCTTGTTTATACCATAACCCAGTTTGCCCCTTTCCTCACTTACTAATTTCACAAAGAGCTGTGCATACCGCTCTCCACATCGAGGGAGGGGGTGAATTTCATAAAGCCGTTGGATCTGTACTCCAAAGGCCAGATCCTGGGACAAGCCCCCTAACCTGAGTCTTCCAGGATGGATCTCTACTGTGTCTTTCTGCCCTGTCTGTGTGTATGGCTGGAAGAAGCTTGTGAGCCCAGCCCAGCAAGACAGGGAGGGTGAAAAGGGCCCCCGATAGGCTCAGAGTATTCCAGGACATCAGGTGGAAGTTAGACACATGCAAGCAGGAAATATCCATTTAAACAGTGAAAGTAACAAATCAGTGGGGAAGTGTCCCAGGGCAAGGGGGGTGCCCATTGGTGAGCCGAGGTGGGATGTTTTTAAGATGCTCTAGTATAAACCTTTGGGGGTGGGTCTCTGGGCTGTGTTACCCCAGAGGTCACAGTGGTCCACTTTGGCCTTGGACTCCCTGCCCCATGTGGAGAAGAGTGGCTGGCACGTATGGAGGGCCAGGTCAGAGGAGGGCTCTTGGTACCTGCTCATTGACCCGGAGAAAAGCGTCAATGTAGTCCAGGGCCTCTTTCTCCTCCAAGTCTGGTTCCAGAAAGCAGGGGCGGTTGGGAGGGGCTGGTGAATCTGATAGAAGACAGAGCTGGTGGTAATGCTACAGGCAGGGATCTTAGATCTTTGCCCGCAGCTCCCACGCCAGCAGTGTAGAGGCCCTGAAGCACAGCACAGTGATCCCTGGCCTCCTGAACTCTTTCCTGCCCAGCCCAGCAAAGAGCGAGTCAGAACTCTAGTGCCCAGCGGCCACCCCTCTTCCCCACGCACGCTGCTTGTTCTGCCTGCCTCTCCGGCCATGGGCTACAGGCAGGGATCTTAGATCTTTGCCCGCAGCTCCCACGCCAGCAGTGTAGAGGCCCTGAAGCACAGCACAGTGATCCCTGGCCTCCTGAACTCTTTCCTGCCCAGCCCAGCAAAGAGCGAGTCAGAACTCTAGTGCCCAGCGGCCACCCCTCTTCCCCACGCACGCTGCTTGTTCTGCCTGCCTCTCCGGCCATGGGCAGCCACAGCCCTCGTCTCCACCTGCCCCAGTCAGCTCTCACAGCTGCAGCTGGGGCCAGCCGGAGGGCCTCCCCTCCACTGGGTTTTCCTGTCTTCATCTCACAGCAGGCCAGAGCCCTGCAAGGCTACGGAGTCGTCTCCTCCAGGGGACCCCAATCCTGGAGGGGCCAAGCCCCACCACCATGCAGCTCCCTCCCCCACCCAGCTGGTCCCCACTCACCTGCACAGAAGGGCTGGAGCACACACAGCTCCTGCTGCTGCGGGGGGTGCCTCTGCCGACTCTTCCAGGGGGGAGCTTTGGTCTCCTCCCAGGCAGGGATGGGCTTCGAGGAGCCCTGGGGTGCTTCCTCCATCATCCTGCAAAGAAGCCAGGACCAGGCATTGCTGGTGGGGGAGGGGAGGCTGTGCAGTGGGGCCAGCCGGGCTAGGTCTGTTCCACCAGCACCTCCAAGTGCCAGCTGCGACCAGGGCCCTGCTGCACTGGGTCCCTGGCCACAGGGCTCACGAGCTAGCCAGCCCAGCCAGCAGGGAAACAAGTAGACAGACATGCTCAGAGTCACCCAGCCCCTCAGCCGTACAGGCAGGGTTAGAACCCAGGTCGCCAGGCTCCCAGGTCACCCCCAGCCCCAGGGCAAAGAGCTCCCCACTGGGTCACAAGCTGCACACCAGAGAGGCTGGTCCCACCCGGCCAGGACTCTTCCTGCCCAGGGAAATTACCCTGCTCCCTCCCCCCAGGAATACGGGGCGGTGGCAGCCCCCAGGAGGGGGTGCTGGGGCAGGCGGGCTGTGAGCAGCAGGAGTTGTGGAGCTAGAAAGTGACTCTGTGTGTGGGGTTCCCCATGGAGGAGGCTGGAGCGCTGGGGTGGGGCTGGGGAGCTGCGGCTAGCCAGCCAGCAGAGAGGAGGAGCAGCAGGTTGGCTCTGGAGGGCCCGGGGGCTGCCTGCCAGGCTAGGAAGGGCGCGGCCGGGAGCCAGCTCCAAACGCTCTGCAGGGCCGGGGGATTCAGAGCCAAACACCAGTTACCAGTCTGGCTCTGAATTCACAGCTCCCCTCCCAAGCAGCTGAGGCTCCAGCGCCGAGAAATGACAGAGCCGGAAGCTCCCCAACTCCTCCTCCCAACTTACTGGGCAGGAGCCAGGATCAGGGCCACTTCTGGGTCTGGGTATTCCCCAGCCGCCTTCTGGCAGGCTGTTGTCTAGCCTCTCCCCAGCTCGCTGAGGCCCAGAGCAACTCACCACATCTCATGCCGAGGTCTGAAAGCAGGGCCGGGCACTGACCACTGCTCTGCTGGGCCCCTACCAGACGGTGCCACCTGCCCACGCCCTGCCAAGTCCTCCTCCTCCGTGCTGCCTGGCACAGCCGTGGCCACCCTGGACTCCATCCTGTGCTCACGCCAGCGGTGCAGGGACGGCCCCGTGTGCTTGGCAAGGCGAGGGAAAAGCAGGGGCAACAGAAGAGTCTCCGGCGTGGAGCCAGGCGTGGGCAGAAGCTGCAGTGTAAACGGGCAACCCACTTTCTGCAGCCGGTGACGGAGCTGAACGGGCTGGCTCAGCATTCCCCAGCCACACGTGCCAGCGCCAGGCCTGGCAGTGAGGCGGGAGGGCGGGGGCGGGGGAGCCACAGGCCAGCCGGGGCGTGACTCACCAGACACCTGGGCAGCCTGATGCCCGGAGACGTGGTGGTGGCCAGAAGTGGAGGTGGCTTCCAAAAAGAACTGGATCAGCCCATGGGGGAGAAGTCAATCCAACGTTGTTAGCCAGCCCCTGGCTCCAGGTGTCCATATGTCCCTGAATGCCAGAAGCTGGGAGAAGAGAGCTCCATCGATAACCAACGCCCTGATGGCCGTGTTCTGGGCAAGTCTTCTGCAGTGCTGGCCACGTCAGAGACGGGATAGTGGGCGAGATGGGCCGTGGTTATCCCAATGGCAATAGAGATCATTCCTAATAATATTAAAGACACTGTGCCGTGCTGGTGGCATGGCTGACTCCCCTCTGCTTTTTCTGTCTTCCCTCCTGTGTCTCAGCTGGAAGGAACCACCCCCGGCACGACTCCTCCAGCTCCCTTAGCAGTGGGAAAGGAGAAAACTCCCGAGTGCTCCCGCAAGGCTCTCTCAGCGCGCAAGGAGGGAGGGCGCGAGGGAGATTCCTTGCAGCAAAGCCACGGCGGCCTCCGAGGTCGCCCCTGCCCCGCAGCATCTTCCCAGCTCGTTGTCATGGGCGCTCTGCGCGGTCACCGCTTCCTTACCGCCGTGGGCCAATTAGCTGCGACAGGCCTTGTGATGTCATGCCACGCCCAACCCTGCCACGCCCACACCTGCCCCAGA